GGCTGGGCTGGAGGTACACACCACTCCCCCCATGCACGAATTTCGTGCACTGGGCCTCTAGTTTGTTGGATAAAGGAAAGAGAAAAGGAGCAGATCTAGGCAAAAGGGTCGTGGAATGGGGGGGGGGGGGTAGGAGGGAAAAATAGAATGACCTGTGGTCACAAAATAATTTACTGATTTTATATACATCTTGGAAAAATTTTAAAGGCAGTTCTCAACTAATGCTGGTAACATTTTTTTTTAAATGATAGCACCACTGGAATTAGAATAGTCTCCTAAAATAACTTCTTTGAAGAACAACAGTCACTGGTAAATAAATAAGCTATGGAATATTGAAGTTATAATAGACTCATTACATACAAGCATATCTTATACTATATCTTATATTCTGTACTTTCAGATATTTAGATCTAGTAACAATTGTAATTCACCATTAAAAGACAACTTGAAGAACTTGTACCTAAATATAAAAATATTTATTTTTGAAGATTAGGAGCAAATCCAAATAGCTTTGAATTTGCCATCATTCGAGCCAGTACTGTGAGCCTTTTTGACACTGTTAAGAAATTTCAAATGCCTCAAAATAGTGAAGGGTCAAAGGATGAAAAACTGAGTACATGTAGGAGTGATATATATGCATGGTTCAGGCATAGATGCCTTCAAGAATACTGAGTACCAAGATGAAGCTGCTATTGCTGAGACAGCATAAGAAGGCAGAATGATTCTCTTCAATCACATCAGAAACTTGATTTTGGTTGCTGCTAATTTTACAAGCAACAAAAAGAGGAACAAAAGTGGTATGATTAGATTGTTGTCTGAAGTGCCATGGAATGAATGGTCTTCAAGGCTCATCAAAATGTATTCTGAATTTTAAGACCTTAAAGAATGTGTCTTCTTATTCATGACGGAAAAAATAAGACAGGGATTCAAAAACACTACATCACAGTAACAACTATTATTCAGTATTACATATTTCTAAATTATGTATAATTGGTTACATACAATCTTTACAAGACATATTCTTGAAACACCCTTCCCCCTGCATGTTCCTAACAGTGCTAGGAAACAAGGTTCTATGTTTTTAAAAAAATTATGTATGTACTGCAGCACTTCTCAAATCCTTTTTTATAATGTACATTTTAAATCTCCAGGAGGGACATACAGTATGCACTGTTTTCCAAATTTATTTGGCCATGGTGTGTGTGTGTGTGTGTGTGTGTGTGTGTGTGTGTGTGTAATATTAACAGTTCCTAGAACAGGGTTCTATAAATACTATTTGGCAAAGGTAAGGGTTACAGTATGCCATAGTTTAATTACTAGGTATGCCCACTAGACTCTAAAGTTTAGAAAACTCTACAATAAAGTTTTCTACATAATTGATATATAGGCATGTATAGATATAAATCCATTATAATTTATTAAATATGTATGGTTACTATCATTTTTTATAAAAGATTATCAGACCATTAGTTAAAATTGATATTCTTACTGGAATTAACTTACATCATATCTTTTTTGGGCTCCTTTTACAGTAACAATCCAAAGTGAAGTCATAGCTAGTACTTAGATTTTTGAGGTGTGAAAAGTTATTATGCTAAAGGTAAATTATGAAAAATATAACTTTTCTTTGCCCCTTTGGTATGGCAATTCCTATTTATCAAACACTACCTGATAGAATTGCTTATCATTCATCCATTTTTTCAAATCTCTGTTATATTTTTAGTTTCTAATTTTAACATTGTTTTTCATTGGTCTCATATCACATAGTTTGACTGAATTTTGAAATAAATTTGAAATGATGCCATTTTCCATTGTAAAGTCCATGATGGCATCTCTTGTTCTCAGCCTCATTTCTTTCTGCATAGGAGCCTCATCAGAGTCTCTATCTAGTTTGAAATGGAGGTTTTCAGAGTGAGCAGCCTATTTTTTCCCAAAGCTTATTAGAAGCCACAGTCTTCATACATATTTGTCAACTATTCAGGAAATCCTGTTTGTTATATGCATGTTTTTATTATACCACCTACAATGACAAGTGGCTCATGAAGAGCAGTTCGACTGTGACCATAACTTGAATTGCTCACCAGGGAAGTCAAGTTCCTGATTAAACAGACTCAAAGACAAGTTTACTGCTATAAACAGCAGTCAATATGTTGTACCGAAAAGAAAACTGATAGAAATTCTCCATATCAAATAGGTAATTATGAAAATATGCAATTACAAAAAGTCTTACTTTATAGTTATAATATGGAGACTTCTGATTTTCATCCCATAGGATTCCAGAAAGAGAACTATTGACTTGCTTCATAATTATTTTATAGGGCACCTGACGTCCTGCAGCATCACTACATGGAGCTCCCCGGAAAGGGACTTTTGCAATGGTACAAACATGATCCTAGAAATGCAGAAATGTTCATGTTAGAAATTATCATTTAAGTATATGTTAAGAGTTAAATCAAAAAATATACTGAAACTATTTATTAGAAAAAATGTATACTATATAAATGTAGATATGCTGACTATACAATATGAAAATTAAATTTCATTATTAAATGAAAATATAGAACACTCAGAAACTTTCATGGGATTGAATATTTAAAAATAAACCTTTTCCCTTTTAGTCTCAAACTACTAGTATATTTTAGAAATTCTAAAGTTTATATACACTATATATAGGATAGTTGGTAAATTCTAAATAGAATATTATATATTACAGCAAGGTCTAAAAATACAAAAGAAGGAGAAAGAAATTATGTAAGAAATGAGCTGTTCTTACCTCCGATAGAGTCAGGCAGATATAATCATAACCATACCAGGGAAGACCCATTACAAGTTTCTTAGGGTTAATGCCCATCTTGATGTAGTCATCATATGCTAATCAAATAGGGAAAGAAAAGGCATATTTTTTCCCTTCATATGTCTACTAATATATTTATACAAAGCCTTGCAGCATCTAAGTTTGTAAAACAGGTACATTTCTGCAAAATACTAATACATTGTTTCTCTGATATTCTGAAAATTATCCCTTAAGAACTACATTATAGTCCTGGCCGGTTTGGCTCAGTGGATAGAGCATCAGCCTACTGACTGAAGGGTCCTGGGTTCAATTTCAGTCAAGGGCATATACCTCGATTGCAGGCTCAATCCCAGAGCATGTGTGGGAGGCAACCAATCAATGTGTGTCTATCACATCGCTGTTTCCTTCTCTTTCTGTGTCTCCCCCTCCCTTCCACTCTCTAAAAATCAATGGAAAAATATCCTCAGGTGAAGATTTAAAAAACAAACAAACAAAAAACTATACATTCTAAATCACTTTCTAAACCATTTCAATTAAGTAATAAAACCATGCAAAATAATTAAGACGAAATTAATGCAAAAATTACAAAATTTAATTCTAGAAAGAATGACACTTCAGGAAAGCATGCTGATTGTGTCTATTAACTGCTAGGTGTATTTTATATTCTCGATTCTAAAGGGTTTTTTCTTTTAAAAACATATTTTTATTGATTCCAGAGAGGAAGGGAGAGGGAGAGAAAGATAGAAACATCAGTGATGAGAGAGAAGCATCTGCCTCCTGGGATCGAGCCTTCAATGTGCCTGGACCGGGAATTGAACCGTGACCGTTCATAGGTCAACATTCAACCACTGAGCCATGCCAGCCAGGCATAGGTTCTGAAGTTTTGATAAAGTTCTATAAGTCTTAAACTTTTTGTCTGGGATGATCTCAGAATTTTTTATAGGAAGCACAAGTGTCCCCTGTTTTCAAATACCCTAAAAGCATGAATTACAGCTAGGGATAAGAAATGTCCCCCTCTTACTCTATATTAGATAATCTGTAGTTATAGAAACAAAGAGAAAAGTGAAGAAATTACTAGTACTATGGATCCCTTTCTGCCCAATGCTGCAAAATGTGTTGTTTTTCCACCAAGAGAAGTTCTAAGACTATGTAGAATGTTAAGTAAATTTGCTACTTTTCATTCCCTTTGAAGTTATGGTATACCATTCAATAGCCAAGAAAGGGGTGGGTTATTCATCATTTCTGAAAACATCTGATTATGAAACCTTTTTTATTGTCTAAATATTTACATATGTTTCCTTTTTCCCCACTTGACATCCCCCTGCCCTAGCCATTCCCACCCCGGGCAAGCCCCCACCACCCCAGTGTCTCTGTCCATTGGTTATGCTAATATGCATGCATACAAGACCTTTGGTTGCTCTCTAACCCCCCCTCCCCTGCCATTTGTCTCTGGATGTATTCTTGTTCATCATGATTATGAAACTTTTATTGATAGAGCACAATTATCATCTCTTCCATGAAACAGTTTGGGAAGATTAAATAATTACTTTTTAATTATAACAGAATTAAATTGTCAAATTTTTAATTATCTGTCCAAACAACTAGGACATGCTAAAATGAGGCCAGGTTCTAAGGTTTTACCTCTATATAAAAAAGAAATAATTTTTTACTTATTAACCAATCAACAAATCAGTGCCAACTATCTGAGAAAAATTCACTTGAGTCCATATAGTAAACAACCTTTGATTCAATTGGTTGATGGGATATAAACTAATCCAAACTTTGGAAAGGATAATGCAAAGGCCATATCATATGAATGAGAGATCACAAATACTCTTAATTGTGATGCTATACAGGCATACCCTCCTTATTGCTTGTTTGGCAACCTGACGACAGACTCTCCAGCCACAAAATGACTATGACTTCCTTTATTGCAATACTCACTTTATTGCTGTGGTCCTATAAAATCTCCTAGGTATGCATGTAATTTGCAATATAGCATGTACTAATAGTAAATGTCAAATGAGATAAAGCCAATGCTATCAATCATGTGTAGAAGATATTCACATCATAACTATCTTTGCTATTAAATGATTTAACATTGGTTATTTCAACAACAACAAAAAATCTTGTGAAGTTCTAGATTTAAAAAATACCTTATTTATGTAATTTTGAGAGAAGTGCGTTGACTTGAAGTTAAAACGCTTGAGTTTCAACTATGTAATACTTCATAGCTGTGCAATCAAGATAACACCCTTCATCTCATGTGCAATAGATGATTAATAAATAACATACTTAGAAGATTTCTAGAAGAATTAAATAAAAACTTTAGAACTTTAACATTTTTGTAAACTTTAAAGCTCTCCAAATTAAATGTTTTTCATGTTTCAAGAAAGCATGGAAAAGGTATACAAATGCCTTAGAAATACTAAAATAAGACTTAGTGTTTGAGGCTATGGAATTAATATTAGCAATAAATGATTATTTGGTGTGTCTTACCAGTTATTGTCTGATTATAGGGAGCATTGGCTGCTGCAATACATTCTGACCAGACCTGACTTTGTTCATCGTAAGACATCACAAAGAGAAAGTCACAAGCATCTGCAATTCCAGTATAATTATAGCACCTTCTGTCTATGCACTTTGGAGCACCCCGCGTACATCAAAGGTTACCTGTGGAGAAAC